TGACTGGTGAAAACAATGCCAACTATAGCCTGCAAGAATGATGCTTTCATATAAATACCAGTCTGGTGAAAACAATGCCAACTATAGCCTGCAAGTATGATGCTTTCATATAAATACCTGACTGGTGAAAACAATGCCAACTATAGCCTGTAGGTATGATGCTTTCATATAAATACCTGACTGGTGAAAACAATGCCAACTATAGCCTGTAGGTATGATGCTTTCTTATGAATACCTGACTGGTGAAAACGATGTCAACTATAGCCTGTAGGTATGATGCTTTCATATGAATACCTGACTGGTGAAAACTATGTCAACTATAGCCTGTAGGTATGATGCTTTCATATGAATACCTGACTGGTGAAAACAATGCGAACTATAGCCTGTAGGTATGATGCTTTCATATAAATACCTGACTGGTGAAAACAATGCCAACTATAGCCTGTAAGTGTGAAGCTTTCATATAAATACCTGACTGGTGAAAACAATGCCAACTATAGCCTGTAGGTATGATGCTTTCATATAAATACCTGACTGGTGAAAACAATGCCATCTATAGACTGTAGGTATGATGCTTTCATATAAATACCTGACTGGTGAAAACAATGCCAACTATAGCCTGTAGGTATGATGCTTTCATATAAATACCTGACTGGTGAAAACAATGCCAACTATAGCCTGTAGGTATGATGCTTTCATATGAATACCAGACTGGTGAAAACAATGTCAACTATAGCCTGTAGGTATGATACTTTTATATAAATACCTGACTGGTGAAAACGATGTCAACTATAGCCTGTAGGTATGATGCTTTCATATGAATACCTGACTGGTGAAAACGATGTCAACTATAGCCTGTAGGTATGATGCTTTCATATAAATACCTGACTGGTGAAAACGATGTCAACTATAGCCTGTAGGTATGATGCTTTCATATAAATGCCTGACTGGTGAAAACAATGCCAACTATAGCCTGCAAGTATGATTTCATATAAATACCTGACTGGTGAAAACAATGCCAACTATAGCCTGCAAGTGTGATAATTTTATATAAATACCTGACTGGTGAAAACAATGCCAACTATAGCCTGCAAGTGTGATACTTTCATATAAATATCTGACTGGTGAAAACAATGCCAACTACCGGTATAGGCTTTAGGTATGATGATTTCATATAAATACCTGACTGGTGAAATCAATGTCAACTATAGCCTGTAAGTATGATGCTTTCATATAAATAAGACTGTGGCCACATGGTCAATCAGAATTTTATGGTTGCCAGAGGATCTGCTCCCCAGGGAAGGGGGCGCATAGCCATGTCATGGGGGTGCTGCACCCCTGTTCCCTTGTTTAAAAATGAAAACAATGCCAACTATAGCCTGAATTTTGGCTAAACCTATTTTATCCTATTAATAATTTTTACTACCGCATTAGTTTTTACAGTACTTATTGGTTCTTGTGGCACCAAAAGATCGCTCAGATGCTGAAACATCACCCATGGGCAATCTTTTGGGGTAGGCGATGTTTCAATTAAATATGGTAATTGTGTTTAACAACAGCCACACGTATGGTAAGTTAGTTCAAAATCTAGATAGTTGTAATTGTATTTATCAATAGCCACACGAATGGTAAGTTAGTTCAAAATCTAGATACAATGTAGCTGTAATTGTATTTAACAACAGCCACATGAATGGTGAGTTAGTTCAAAATCTAGATAGTTGTAATTGTGTTTATCAATAGCCACACGAATGGTAAGTTAGTTCAAAATCTAGATACAATGTAGCTGTAATTGTATTTAACAACAGCCACATGAATGGTAAGTTAGTTCAAAATCTAGATAGTTGTAATTGTATTTATCAATAGCCACACGAATGGTAAGTTAGTTCAAAATCTAGATAGTTGTAATTGTATTTATCAATAGCCACACGAATGGTAAGTTAGTTCAAAATCTAGATACAATGTAGCTGTAATTGTATTTAACAACAGCCACATGAATGGTGAGTTAGTTCAAAATCTAGATAGTTGTAATTGTGTTTACATTATTAACAGCCACAGGAATGACAACTAAAGACCATTGTTATAACAAAGGTCAATGAAGTCTATTGTTACCAAGGGTGGGTGTGCTAGATAGGATTTCTATGTGCCTATGATAGTAAAATGTGAATGGACAAGTGTGCTAAATAAATAGATACAATGTAGCTGTAATTGTATTTAACAACAGCCACATGAATGGTGAGTTAGTTCAAAATCTAGATAGTTGTAATTGTATTTATCAATAGCCACACGAATGGTAAGTTAGTTCAAAATCTAGATACAATGTAGCTGTAATTGTATTTATCAATAGCCACATGAATGGTGAGTTAGTTCAAAATCTAGATAGTTGTAATTGTGTTTACATTATTAACAGCCACAGGAATGACAACTAAAGACCATTGTTATAACAAAGGTCAATGAAGTCTATTGTTACCAAGGGTGGGTGTGCTAGATAGGATTTCTATGTGCCTATGATAGTAAAATGTGAATGGACAAGTGTGCTAAATAAATAGATACACAAAAATGTGAAGGTAACATATAATAGTAACATTTTGTATAGTCCAATCAAGTACAAACACTTAAGGTATACTATAAACTTTACAAAGCTTTCACATTATGGAGGTACAACTGACACTAGACTGGGTATTGAGAGCAGTGTAAATACAAGTCACTAACATTTGCATACATTCAATCACACTTATTTTAGGCAGAATTTATTTCAACTGTGTTCTATATTGTGATAACATTTATTTATTAGGAGCTTTTAATCACTTCAATCTATATAAATATACAATAATATAAATAATATATTCTGATGATCATCATAGCCAATGCAATCTGTTATAATTTGGTAGGAGAACACTTCATACAGGATAAATAATAGTGGCACTGTGGAAATACCCATAAGTACACACAAAATGTGATAAGTACTACCGGGTATCTTTGTTCACTTTGATTGTGAATCCACCTATACTGTATACTAAATCATTACACAACAATGGTAAATATATACAGATATGGGTCAAGTACTTACCAGCAAATATTCAATTGTTAACTGTGCCAACTTGAACAGTTTTAAAAAATTTGGATCTATCATTCGAGTGTCCAATTCTTGTTCTATATTACAAAATGTCAGATTCATTATATTATCCTGTAGCACTGTGAAGTCAAGATCCCTTGAGACCCGGTCCACATCAACAGCAGCTGAAGAAAGATAACCATCATTATAGAAGGAAGAAACCAAACAACAACTGCACTACTTACATTCCCAAAATACTGGAAACCACTTATAATAATATTAATATTTTAATTAATATATTTCACTTTGGTACTAAAAACATAGTATCAGTAATATGTCATCTTTTTAAATGCATTCAAATCAAAACATTTCTAGTGATCAAACATTTTAACATTCTACACAGTACATGTATATATCAAGAAAAGTTAAGAAATGTTTTGAATTTATTTTCAGAAAATAACTACTGTATTTGTTTTATTAGGAGCACATGTGCTTACATAGGTAAATGACACCCAAAACAGGAATACACTTACCCATTTTTCTCCAATCAACTCTTTCATATCTTTTTCTGAATGAAAATCCTGGTCCATTAATTGGTGTGCCATTAGGAATGTATCCATTTTGTGAGGCAAAGGCAGTAGCTGCCTGACGACGTGGACTATTGTAATAACCACTTGGCATCATATTGTCCATATTTTCATTATCTCCCTTCATAGAAAAAGAATGTCACTACACTCAATTGTAGCAAGCTGCAAAACGAAAATAAAATCTTTTTTTAATTAAGTTACATGAAAGCTGAAAGACAATAACATATGCATGTATAAAAAGGGACAGCATGCCTGGCAGTTAGAGTGTACTGGGCTCTACTCTTTATAAAACAGTTTCTGTTTGTCATAGCATAACATAGCAGAGATTCAAAAAGAAAATAATATTATTTATTCCTCATTTATAGAAACTTTATTTAATCATCTGTACATGTATTTCTCATGAATTCAAACATTTGTACATGTATTCTAGTCCACTGAAAATGTAAATGATTCATAACATGATTTTTATCAATAATTTTTGATGCCACATTTATGCAATTTGTTGTCCTAGCAACTTGAAAATGCTATATAACATATCTGACTCATTCAGGTATGGCTAAAATAATAAAAAATAAAACATAGCACAACTAATGCAACCATGCCCAATGAGAATCCAGCTATTAAATAACAAATATGAATTCAGGATGGATACAAATGTCTTCATTCTCTTCACTTGTACATTTGTACCCATGTTTAACAAATGATTTAAAAATTTAATGAAATTAGTGAGCCAGAGAAAATACAAAAATATGTACATGCAGGGCAAAAATGAGAGTAATGCAAATGCTGGTTCTTGTTTGACCAAAAAAAAAACAAGAACAATATAAAATTATAAAAATTAATTAAGATTCATGTTCCTCAATCAATACTACATGTACTGTATTAATCCCAAGTTATAATCCCAAGAATAGAATAGAATAGAATAGAAAATGTATCGAGGAATTGATACTGGCCAGTGTTTTGGCAGAAAAGGTACTTATCAATTTTTTGCAGCAACAACTATTTATACTTCATCATGAAAATAACACATTTGGTTACTACACCATCTAATTGACAGATCTTGAAGTACATACATGTATTACTAACATCTTTTTCTTCTGATCAGCAGTAACAATATTTTTATTCTGTGCACTAACTTTTATGTCTCACAAATGTTTTATTTTAACCACATTTTAGCTAATATTGTAAAAATTACACATGCTAAACACCAAAATTGACTTAGTTGACATTTCAAAGTTGAAGATGATGACATACAAATTTTTTTACCACAAAATAAACAAAGACAAGGAGACAAGGACAACAACAATAAAGAGGGCAGATATTTTTCGCCATATCCCTTTACCTTCATCTGATGATAGTTGGACAAGGCACATACATTGTACACAATTTATACAGTGTAAAAAGGTAAAGATCTAATCTAATCAGCAGTTCTTATGAGATGTAAATGTGGTTGCCATGAAATATTGTGTACAATTCAGCTAACTTGCAGATAGGCAATGTTTTGATTGACCACATATTTGTTTTTTTTGTTTACTTGCTCAATCAAGCAAATAATAGTTGACAATCAGAATGTGCTGGCATGGTATTTTTTCGCTGTACATAATGATGAATATATAAGGGTTATGATTTTGATGTCAGTTTACAAGTTGGCTGAGATTTCAGGGAAATTTTTGCATAAAAATGACAAGAAAGTATGTTTAAAACAGTTATGAGTAATTGTCAATTATAGGTTTATCCAAATCAAAGTATTATTCCAGAGCTGTTCATTTAATCTCTAGGTGTGTTTACATGTACTGTGAATACTTTATTTTTGCGCAGAATATATTTTTGCTGAAGGGATGATTTAGCGAATTTAAAATCCACTGAATATACTTTTTTCCTATAATTTACATTAAACTTCCCAAAAATCAGTGAAAATAAACTTCATACAAAACACTTGAAAGCCTTCTCAGTGAAAATTAATTCTGGCTGAAATAACGTATTTTACAGTATGTAAGCTTGATGCTAATGATGTTATATGCTTTCATGAATTATCCTTGTAGAACAGGTAATAAAATGGAAGTGTATTGATTGTTGGACTATGTTGGACAGAGGTTGAACTTTAGCCCCAGTATTTGGTTGAGTGAATATTATAAAGCAGGGAGCCTAGGTAAAATAACTATGCACACAGCAGAGTGAGTTGGTGTATCATGCTGATACTACTCGGGAGTTAAAATAACTCGCTGCACACAGCACAGTAAGTCAGTGTGAAACTGATGCTCGCAGGGAGGTAAAATAACTATAATTTGCATCATTAATAGTAAGGCATAAAACGCAGTTTCATATAATAAACATTTTCAATACTAAAAACTAAAAAAAAAATAATATAAATAAAACAAACATCACAATATTCACAGAACTGATGATTAAACTAGAAATATCAGTATGACCATACTACAGGACGCATACATGTAGTACATTGTGATACACATCTTAGTTCATCACTCACAAAACACACACACAATTTATACTGAAACACGTAATACCTACTCTAGGCAACTAACGGGTACAGTGACAGCTGGCCACATACATACCAGCATATTTTACATAAATTTACATGACCTCAAATGAATTATTACTTAGGAATATTCATTTATATTTTCCAATTTTTACAGTAATGTAATCACTATATTTTTTTAGCACAACGAAATGTTCGCACACACAAAATAAACTGCTTGTGATATCATGAATATAAAGTTATTATGGAAAAGACGGCACATGATAGTCGACCTACCTGGCAGACGTGCAGACGAGAAAGCATACGATACGGGTTATTTTTGTTATAAATAATTGCTTCAGAGAAAACCTGTCGTTAAATTGTACTACTAGCACAGTAATTCAATCCACCGCAACATCACGATGCAGGACCCCCAGCGTCCTGGAAACTGTAAATATACTATTAACACCTTTTTTAACGGAAACAATAGTATGAATAGAGGGGAACGGCCAAACTTTGTTTTGCGCCGCGCCGAGACGGGAGCATGTCATTGCTTGTTATAAAGTTAGAACCCCGCCCAGAACTGGCGTTAAAATCTACATACCTGCCCAAAAGATGAATCGATGCGTGATTACAGTGAATAGATTTGTTATTGGCGCACAGTAGACCCCCGGATGAAACTAACCAACACTAGCTGTAAAAAGTTCGAACGGTATCAACAAAGTTTACGACAGCTAAGTCAAAACTGACGCCATGTTTGATCTTGCTTGCATACGACAGCGAGAGCATGCCGGGAAAGGTTACACCGGAAGCAAAATTTTATGCGAATATAACCTTTTACTTCTGACACTACATGAAGGATTGACCAATCACAAAACCACACGACAAGGAACGCGACAACTATTCCTTGAACCAGGAAGAGGGCTACACACACGTGAAAATGTTGAATTTGTACAGGTTCTTCACTTCATTGCCTCTTCTTTTCGTCACGTTAGATCTCTATAACGAAGGTAAGTACCAGAAATGTTTATTGTGATAACCTACCCTAGCGAGTAGGATCATAACACGATTCAACCAGTGGCCATCGGGTATAATGGCGAGGCCACAATTTGACCAGTTGGAATGTCCGGTTTGACTGCCACTGTATGTTACCGGCATATGATTTGGGATGATTAATAATGAAACTAATTTAGTTACTAGTAAGATGTGCTGAACAGTATTAAGTTAATGGTTTATGTACTACATCATAACATGATATAACATCCAGAATTGTAAATCTAAAATATGCTACATGATTGTACCGACCATAAAAGACACGTCATTATTATTGTTTGTTATTTTATTTACATTTTACATTACCAAAAAACTGTATTAATTCGCGATAGTAAAAATAATTATTTTTAGGAGTGAGCGAATTAATAAGATACATTTTGATCAGTTCAATTTGAACTTGTTTTCGCCAATTATACATGTATCAAGATGTTCTTTCGTGTCTTTGGGTAGTGTACTAATCACTACCAACCACTGACTACCAACATGCACATAGACCTACCCCAGTTTTTGTACATGTGTTGGGATCCAAAGATCCAAATGTCGAGACAATTCCTCCCAACAACATCCCACCACAGTGCTATAGAACTTAGTTTTGATCATCCTCATTGAACAAATATATTAGTTTACTGGAATATTCTTATTTGTTTTAACACAAAATATCTGGATCAATCATTAAACATAATCCATATGTTGTTTTTAACATCTCATAAAATTCAAGATGGCATCATTCTGTTCTTCGCTCAGGGATTCAAGTCTTATTCTTAAAGTCAATGTTCATGTAATTGCAATACCACCGATCTTGCTGGACTGTCAACACTTTTGCAGTGCTGTGGTTGGTGGATCACAAACTATAATCTTAACTCCTAACACACTGTTTTGTACTAAATAGACCTACGTATACTGGTAGTGCTGTGTTAGTAGTTGGTATGTCCAATCAACATAGCATGTTATAGTAGGGTTACAATGCACCTACTAATATACCAGGCTATGTATGCATACATGTAGTATAATGTGTATACAAAGCTGTGGTAGAATATACATGTACATTGTATGATCTGTATTGTTGGTGGTGCATAATTGCTTTGTGGCAGATGGAGCCTGACATCCATATGTTCCAAAGCAATAAAGCACTAACAACACAGTTCTGTACACATGATGCTAAAGTTGGCCACAGGTTTAAATTTTCTGGTTTGGGTTTCAGTCACTGATAGTATTTGACTCATCGTGATTTTCATAAACAAAGCACACCATCTGTAGTATCATCTTTAATTTTTCAATGCTATAATACTATGCAATCATAATTTTAATCACTAAAAAACACCAAAGCTGTAAATTGATTTTTTTTTAATTTCTTGCAAATACATGTACTAGTACATCTATGTGTTTCCTAATATTGACATTCTATGAAAAAAGATGCATGTCAGAAAGCAGAAACAACGAAATATTCAAAAATACTCAAAAAAAGTATAGTGATGTCAAAATTGTTTACAAACATTGATCTGAACCAAAATCCAAAGTCGGTTCACCAGCATCCTGTACCATTGAGAGAAAACCTTATGTATGTACAGACCCGCCAAAAAGTATTTATGCACCACATTACATTAGTTAGTTGGGTAAAATTGGAGCGCAAATCATGGGCTATGTGAAACAGATTGGCTAGACCAAATAAGTAGCCAGTCTTTGTGTTTCATTGTGCGCCTTAGCCGCCCTGATTGAAGATGATTGCATACTACCTCGCAGACAAAGTTTAAACAGCTTGAAACAAATAGAGCCTTCAGAAAGTCTTGTGGCAATTTCCATGTGTGCAGTGCTTCATTACGATAATTCCCTAACTTTCAGCATCATGCTATGTTTGTAAATAAAAATTACACCTCTGATACTATGTCATTGATAGGAGAATATTCATGACAGGTATTCCCGCCCAGAAATATCTTCTGCTCTATGATTGGTTCAAATTTGCATGAGAAAGCGCATGTTTTATTGCCCAAAATTTTAATGAGATTCAAATGATATGCAAATGAACATGATCCCATAGAGTTAACCATTGGGATTTTTGCTCACTGAAAAATTCACCAATTTATTTTGACTAAAATGCGCTAAGTCGTCTTAAATTTATTTTATTTTAAAAACAACACGTAATGCTACCCAGAATTTATAATTTTTATTATGAAAATGCTCTAATGACAAGATGTGAAAATACTTTCTAGTGAGTCTGTATGTCAGTCGCTTCACTGCAGACTCCACATGTACTGCCTTGGTCAAATCATCTTTGTTTTTACAATTGCTATCATTAAGGTGTTCAAGGAAAGACATCAAAAGAAGATGCTGAGCAACATCTTGAATTAGGTAAACAACTTTTAGCTGCAGGACAGTTAGCTGATGCATTATCACATTACAATGCTGCTATAGGTAAGCTTAATTCAACTAGCTACTTGTAATAAAATTACTGTAATGTTTGCATTTGTGAATATTATGATTGATAATTATATTTATAGGTTAGGCCCTATGAATTGATTTTTCAGAATTTGCATTCAAATTATACCATATTGTCCAACTGCCATATGTTATACCGGTATTTGCCTGGGCACAATATCATTATTAGTGTTTTTCATAATATGTAAATAACCATATTATATTATTATTATTATTTGTATCATAACATTTTTGCCCTTGTGTGTGTCTAGTTCACTTGGGGAACTCATATCTCAAGTTGGGTTCACTGCCTCAATGAAATCCACAATTATTTGTATGCTTGACTCTTGTGTACTTCTTGTAATTGTGTACATCTGAAATGTTGATGCATAAATAAAGTTGTCATTGCGTAACTGTATCTATATTTCACCCTAAGATGGAGACCCAGAAAACTATCAAAGTTATTTTCGTCGCGCTACAGTGTATTTAGCAATGGGGAAGTCAAAGACTGCTCTGCCTGATTTAGATAAGTGTATACAATTAAAACCAGACTTCACAGCAGCAAGAAACAAGTCGTGCTAATGTTTTAATGAAACAAGGCAAACTAGACAGTGCAAAGAAAGATTATGAAGCAATTGTAAGTAGCATTAACCATTTTTTTACAGTAATTTACATTTGTATCATAATAACATCTGTGGTGCAATGCAATTATTTGCCAGTTTCATGA